TAGCATAAAGCTGTTTCTAACCGGGAGTTATTTGGCAAATATTATTTGTTTTCCTCCAAATGTGCACATTATTTCCATATAATGATTTCCTTAGTGCTAGAAATCCTGTTCATTCATATTAATGTTTTGACAGATGCACATTGATATTCAAAGCATAATTCTAGAAGACGGCACTTGTTTACCCAACAACTGTTCAAACCAAATGAGGGGGGGAAATGTGGTAGTGTATCTTTTTCTCCCTTTTTGTAACAGAATAGAGCATTACAGACCAGTTAATGCATTCAGTTATTTCTCATCTCGTCTCCCCATCCCAAACCATTCAGCAAACTAAGTATCAAATATCATGGACCATTTTAGATGGTATTACTGCTTTGCTCTCATTTAAGTCAAGAGACACCTGTATGCTTTATGAATGACAGATGGTATAATTCTTAAATACTTTGTTTTCAGATGAACAGGGAGTTTTAACTTCCTTGGGCCAAATTGTGAGCTCCCGAAGGAAATGCATGCAATTATTTAATTATTTAGAATATTTATATGCTGCTTCTTTAGAGTCCTGCTCGAGGCGGCCTACAATTAAAAATCACAATATAAAACACCAGCAATTAAAAACACAAGCCATTAATCATAAGACAAAGATGCATAACAGAAGCAGATAATTTAAAACACCTGATAAGATAAAACCCATCATTAAAAGCCTGGGTAAAAAAAGAAAGTAAAGTAGGCAACAAGCAAAAGTCATGGGGGAGGGCAGTCCAAAGGAAAGTGGCCACAACAGAAAATGCCCTGTCTCTAGACACCACCTGTCCCATCTTTGAAGGTGGGGGGTTCAGAGAGCAGGGCTTCAGGGGTGGATTGTCTGGGAGGAGATGGTCCTTCAGGTACCCTGGCCCCAAGCTGTTTAGGGCCTTAAAGGTAAGAACCAGCACTTTGAATTGTGCCTGGAAACAGATAAGTAACCAGTGCAGATCTTTCAGCACAGGAGTGATACAATCCCTATAACAGTAGGCTAGCCATTTAAAAAACTTTAAAAATACCAGGTTCTGTTGATTATAGTTGTAAAAAAATGGTTAATGGAAACTCACTGTGCATAGCTTATTTCACTAATGTGTGTAGTTACTTTTAAAGAGACAGAGGATTAATTACACTTCATATTTTTCACGGGAGTAATCCACCAAACTCTGTTTCTATGCAAACCTCACTGGATAAATGCTGGTTGTGAAGGTAAAATATTTTGTAGATTTAGTTCACCCAAACCCCATTGAAGGCTCTCCCAATCATTTCAACAGAGGAAGCAGACCCTTTGGTACCAAGTAAAGCACATATGGGGTTCTTTGCTTAAAAAAAAAAATCACTGGAAAAATGGATTCAATTTTGTTCATAAAACAGATAAAATATCACTAAACCACTGAACAGAATTATACAGTTTTTACAAGTTATATAGTAGACGCCAGTCAGTATCTGGGAGCTGCAATACATCAGAGGTACCTTATCCAGATAGTTTTTTATTCTGTATATTCTTTATATCCCCACTAGATGGCATTTTTATAAGACTTTAAAATCAGCATCATTATGTTCATGTTCCCTAGAGATGGGTGGAATTCTGCTATCTACATTCCAAAGTTTATTAGACGTTTCTAGAGAATATAATTGGGCAAATTCTTTTAGAAAAAGACAAGAAATGTTTGCTTAATTTCTGAAAATGAATTTGTGGTTCACTTTATGCAGAGAATTGTGCAATCATGTTTTGCATGCATGAACAGTGGCAGAATTTAAGCCCAAACTGTGACATTCTGATAGTGTCAGCTAGTAGCTCTTCAACACTTGCACCCTTGAAAACATAATGGTTAATACAAAACTGGGACATCGCTTGAGAGAAGGAGGCTCCTGACCTGAAGCACTTTCTTTTTTTTCTTCAGAAGCCTTAAACTAAGGCCACTGAGAGAAAGTATCTGACGTCATGAATGGGACTATAGTTCTGTGCAGTGTTAAGACTGCTAATAGGATTTATGCCGCCTGACAGCACAGTATTGCAGCCAAACTGCACTATTAACTAGTTTGTTTGACTGTGAAAAAGAAAACTGAGATTTGAGCACTGGGCCTACCCAGTATAAGACACACATGAATGTTCATTTACCTTTTCTATCTATCTGTCTATCTACCTGAACAAGGAAAAGTTCTTCTGTTCTGAATGTTTCTCCATCTCCTACTTTCTCCAAGACAGAGTTCTTCCTTAAGACCCTGATATCTAGAAATTTCAAACACATATGTAACTGCAGCTGGATAGATTTTGTTTTCCCATTAGTAAGGAATCCGTAGCTGTAAGAAGAGCCTGGTGGTGGTGGAAAGTGCTGTCAAGTGACAGTCAACGTACGGCAACCCCATACAGTTCTCAAGGCAAGAGACGTTCAGGGGTGGTTTGCTAGGGTTGCCAAATCGACTCCCCTAGCCGGCGGGGGACTCTGGGGTGGCTCCCGGAGCGCGCACGCGCGCCGCATCACAGGCAAATGACATCATGACACCGGGCATGCTGGGGGCGGGGCCACAGCCATTTGAGGGGCGGGGCGGGGGCTGAAATCGGGCCTCCAAAGCGGGGGGAAATCCGCTCCCCGGTGGGACTTGGCAGCCCTATCTCCAGTTATCACCCAAGCAGGAGCTGGCAACCCTCCCTCGAACAAATAAATGCAAAAATTTCAATCTGGGAACCATCTCGGTTTCTGCAGAAACCAGCCGACCCGTCCAGACCTCTTTGACTGTACATAATGCATTCTCTTTGCAGAATTTTGGGTTTCTTTCTAGCGGAATTTGGCTATCACTCATGAAAAAAGACAAATGGCCACGTCCAGCGAGGGCACTCAGACGGCATCCGCCACTACCTTGTGGAGAGGAAACGCTGAAGCCGAAACCGTTTTGGTTCTTGGCCACGCAGCACAGCCGTGGCCTGTCGTAACGGGGCAGGAGCTGGGCCAGGTTCCGGTCCAGAGCTCTGGCCAGGCTGTAGGCCTCCCCGTCCACAACGGTCAGCAAGACCTGCTTGCCGCTGCGCTTGATCTTCCATACCACCTGCAAGAGAGGAACGGAGTGTGAGGAGGAAGGGTCAAAAACAAGGCGGGGCATATTTGTCAGCTTGAGTGCCCGTAGAACCAGGAAGAGACAGACTCAGGGGTCATTTCCTGCAGGAGCGCACAGGAACGGAGCTCCGGCAGTAAAGAGCCCAGGGGGCGGGCACATACAACAAGCCCTACCCCCTGCTCCCAGCAGCCCTCAGTCAGTGCAAGAAGCAGCCAGGTAGGTTGCAGAGCTCCCCCCTCCCCGACCCCCCGGTCCAAAACAGTCCAGTGGCACCTTTAAGACCAAGTTTTGTTCAGGTACAAGCTCTCCCTCCTCTGCAAAAGGGCAACTCGAATGATAAAAGGGCTGGAACACTTTCCCTATGAGGAAAGATTAAAGTGCTTAGGGCTCTTTAGCTTGGAGAAACGACGACCGAGGGGAGACAAGATTGAGGTTTATAAGATTATGCATGGGATAGAGCAGGTAGAGAAAGAGGTACTTTTCTCCCTTTCTCACAATACAAGAACTCGTGGGCACTCAACGAAATTGCTGAGCGGTTGGGTTAGAACGGATAAAAGGAAATACTTCTTCACCCAAAGAGTGATTAACACATGGAATTCACTGCCACAGGGAGTGGTGGTGGCTACAAGCATGGACGGCTTCAAAAGGGAATTAGATAAGCATATGGAGCAGAGGTCCATCAGTGGCTATTAGCCACAAGGTATAGATAGGGACTCTGGGGCAAGTGATGCTCTGTCTTCTTGGTGCTTGGGGGGGTCAACAGTGGGAGGGCTTCTAATGTCCTGGCCCCACTTGTGGACCTACTGATGGCGCCTGATATTTTTGGCCACTGTGTGACAGAGTGTTGGACTGGATGGGCCTTTGGCCTGATCCAACATTGGCGTATCTTATGTTCTTATGGGAAACCACCTCTGTTTGCCTCTTGCCTTGAAAACCCTTTGGGGGTCACCATAAGTCAGCTGAGATGTGATGGCACTTTCCACCACCACCAACATGCTGTAGTTCCTTCCCCAATGGCTCTTTCATGCACATGTTACCAAATCAGAATGAAAAGAAACTGATCCCTACCTTTCCAGCTAAGTGCACATAATTCCAGCAGTAAAACAGTACCTCTTAGTGTCATGTTTTTAAAATGAGAATAGCAGGCTTACTGTGAGGGCAAACATATGACAACTGTAAAGCACTATATAAAGTTAGTAGATGTAATACTAACAGGGAACTGCAGCTCTTGATCTGAACCGTGTGGAGCTGTCAAGGAAATCAGCAAGAGGACAATGAGCACATTCCTCACAGAGGTGTTCTCGGGCCCAGTGAAGATGTTACTAATGCATGACGGTTGATGCTGAAAAACTGCATCTGGTCAGAATTCCACGATGCGACGGAAACACGTGAGTGGCATCCACAAAGGTTGCCTGGATCTCACTGGTCACTTTCCACAACAACTCTAGTGGCCTCAATATAGGTGGGGTACTGGCATAGGCAACCCATGTGGTTGCTTGCACATAGATTACTACCTCAATGTGAAGCCCTTACCACAAAGAAGCTGTCTGAAGCTGCTGTACCCCAACACTAGCTCATAAATCATGCCCAGCTGACTACCATGTGGACATGCAGGATCCTAACCAGTGTTCCCTCTAAGCTGAGTTAGTGTGAGCCAGCTCACAGTTTTTTAGCCTCTGGCCCACACATTTTTGTCTCAGCTCAGGAAGGATGGCTCCAGAACAAACTAATTCATGCAGTAGCCACGTCTCTCGCTCACAACTTTAATGCCAGTAGCTCACAAAGTAGAGTTTTTGCTCACAGGACTCCACAGCTTAGAGGGAACATTGATCCTAACCTATGGCAACCTCTGCCTAATGATGAATCCATCTTTTCAAACATGGCCATTTTCTTTCTTTCTCTGTTACACAAGCAATAAAGTGACTTACAGCTTTCCAGTTGCAAGGTGCACGTCTGTTTGTCCATAGGGTATTTAGTCAAATCCATATTACACGCAACTGTTGTGGTTATCCTTGAAAAGCAAAGTACAGATGGTTACAATCTATGCAGTGACCCTGAGCACCCAAAATAGAATCAAGCTATTCTGTTTATTTGAGCTGCTTTTTTATACGCAAAACATATGGCTAAGGATAAAAAATTAGCAGATGTATGAAAAGAAAGCTGGAAAAGACCCAGAATTATGATTGCCCTGTCTCCTTTGCAAGGAGCTTTGGCAAATTCTACTACTAATAATAAATATGAAGACTTTTTATAGCTGGGAACCAGGCTGTATGTATATAACCAAGAGAAATCCTTGTACTTTCTGACTGTACACATGACGGTCTGATGATTTTGGATGATATATTAAGTGCTGTCTTAGAACTAGATAAAAACATCTGTGTGTGGCAAAGAAAGCTATGGTGGGCGGGCTTGAATTCATACACATAGGAAGAATACACAGGAATCCTGTTTGCTACTTCAGAATCTAAAAAGGAGACAGAAATTCTTGGGGGGTTGGGAAAGACTTGCTAACTTTTGTTCCCCATAAAACTGCCTATGATTATCTTACTGTTTCTTTACATGAAATAGCAGATATGTTTAATGTTAGATATTTTTATAATTAATAATTTTAATAAACCACTACATCTTCCTATTCAGAGGCTGGAATGAGAATACGCACATGCATTTGCTTCACTTATAATGCAATCCCATGCAGTTACTCCAGTCACTGAAATCAATGAGCTTAAACTGCAGTAACTCTCTATAGGATTGCACTGATAAAGCCTGCTCTTCCCTTTCCCAGGACAGAAGGTGAGTTTAAAAAACAAAACTACATTGCCCATTCGGAATAACAGCCAGAAGTACAACCTTCCCTCTGATGAGACTTTCTGACATAAATTCACAGTGAAATGTGATTGGCTATGTGGCATTGTTTTAACGATATTATACAGACTATGTGATCCCCAATAGGTGGTATAATAGAAAGATAAGGAAGCCGTTGTGTTAAAATAATGGTCTCTGCTGACAGGGTGCTCCAACAGCTGTGACGATGTGAAGTGCAGAAGTAATTTGTGACCCACACAACAAAAAATATGTGCTTCTGGACATTTCCTGCGGTTTCATATAGTGTGTGTGTATAGGTGACATATGCTATATTTACACACACACCTGCACCAAATTACTGGGGAAGCCTTACAAAAGGGAGATTTCCACATGCACATCAGGTCCCATGCCTGGAAAATAGCTCAATCAGGAAAAGCATTAATCTAGAACCAAAAGACAAATTGTGACCATTTATCTGATACAAGAGAAGTGAACTGTGTCTGATGATGGCCATTACACATAAAAAATTAATCCCAGAAAGACTTTTGGTGAAGCACAACGATTTATGAGTGGTGAACATACCGTATGGCATAAAGGACTGTTCCATTGGGATATATTCTGATTAGACGGTTTTCAACAGTAATATCATGAAGAAAAGACTTCTTTGAATCCACTATAAAGGTGTCTGGTACCCAAAGCATTTCCACAAGGCGACCGTCTAAGCTTAAGCTCTTGTTACCCTCAAAACAAAGACGTTCATCAGTCCACCGCTGTCTTAGGAATATAGTAGCTGTGTAATCCTAGGAACACAGTACACAATTTTTCAAAAATATTGAAACTAAGAATTTATCCATTTATTTCATGCATTGGAAACAACAGTTTACTAATCAATAAGGAGCAGATCTGGAATTGATTGTGCCACACAGTCAGCAAAATGCATGGTCACCTCTGCTTCTGGCTGATGGTGCAGAATCATCATGCTGAAAGGGAAAAAGATGTACAATGACATTTTCCAGGCTACACAACCTGTTCTAGCCTATGCATCTTCTCTTCACAGGTTACACAAGTAACATGCATCCCTCTGGGTGCAGGAGATCTTCATGTCTAAAGCAACTTTCAAAATAGATTGCAATGGGAAAGAAAACAGCGGTCCTTAATTGCCACATTTGTGTCCTCAAGCTGCACTTTTCTTTCCATTCTTCTTTCTGCCACTTTCTAACATCTTGTGACATTTTTCCCTCCCAGTATTCAGAGAATTTTAGTTTACTTTTTAAAAAGTGGGCCTCTAAACTCTCATGCTTAAGCAGGAAAGGACGGAGACCTTTGGCAATATCTGCTTCAAGGAGTGGCAGAAGGAAAGAATGGTATTATTCGGTTTTGAGAGGGTGACATTCATCCACCTGATGAGCAAAAAATCTTCTGTTGACCCAGATCCCTTCCTGCATAACCATTCTCCACTTTCCCATGGAGAATCATCCCATGAAATTCTAAATTCTGAAAAGAAGATAACCTGCAATGACAACAAAGCGTGCAAATCAAGAACCCCCTGCCCCCCCCCAAAATCTATAAGCTTTCATAAATTGCTTGCAGGCAAGAGCACAGTGAACTGTGCAGGAAGACCAGATACAGAAGCAGTATTGAAGGTAAGTGGAGTCCAGGCCCAATCAGGGTTACGAAGCCACCAGTGTTCCCTCTAAGCTGAGTTAGTGTGAGCTAGCTCACAGTTTTTTAGCCTCCAGCTCACAGATTTTTGTCTTAGCTCAGGAAGGGATGGCTCCAAAACAAACTAAATTAGGCAGTAGCCAAATTGCTCGCTCAAAACTTTAATGCCAGTAGCTCACAAAGTTTCCAGACTGTTCCCCTTATTAATGTAAGGTTTTAAAAGAAATATTTCCTGACATGGTTTAGAAACACCAGCACTTTGTGGAAAGATAATGTGATTTCTGGAGAACTTTTGTGACTGGCAAAAAGCAAAAAAAGGTTCTGGCTGGTTGTGGGGGGGGGGATGACACACAGAGGTTCTGTGAGGAGACAAAGCGCAGGTGTTTCTGAGGAAGTGCTGCATTCTACTTGAAGACTTATTCTGGAGAAGAGGACAATTGTTAGAACTGCTGAGAAGATGACTGACAGGTAAGTTGTCAAATTCTGGTGTAAGCTCCTTCTGTTTCTCAGGTCTATAGCTCCAAGAAAACACTAGTCACTAAAAACCTGAAAAAAGAGAGACCTGTACAAGCACCACACCTTGACAATGACTCTGTTGGGACATTTTCCACATGTCTTTAAACAAATTACGACTGGATCCTTTCTGGAATTTTTGAGTAGGACTGAGAAACTAAAGAGACTTATTTTTTCCTTCAGCTTTGGGACTTCTCAGTATATTACTGCTTCACAGTTAATACTTCAGTCAAAACTATTTACTATCCCACATTTAAATAAAAATATACTTAAGGTACAGTTCAGGCGTGAATGTAGGGCTGCCATTCCCCTGACGGGGGTGGGGGTTTGCCTGCTTTCAGGCCCCCAGATCTGCCAGTCCCGATCTGGCCAGTGGGGGGAACCCCACCCCCGAAGTGCCCCATCACCTCCACCCCATAGAGTTTTCCCTTAAACGATAAGAGCATCCCCCGCAATGTACCCTGTGCAATGACGTCACTTCCAGGTGACATCATCGCGGCACGCAAGCTTTGCACACATGCTGAAGATCTCCAGGACTAGGACTGGGACACCCCCACACCAGTGGCCAGGTAAGACCTGGCAACCCTATGTGAATAGAACAAAAATATCTCTGTGACTGCTAACAACACAAAACTTGGCCTTTTTTTCACTGACTGGGATTCAGCTGAAACGATTGCATTAATGTATAACTGATGCCAATAGAAATTAATCAATAGCTTCATAATCCATACATCTGATCCTCAACATGGCCAAATCTGTGGATATTTAAATCCAGATAGTAGAGCCATGAACAGACAAGACAGACCTTTCTATAGACCTGAAAATTGCCCCAGGTTTACAGAAAAACCTGAAATCTAAAAAAGGAGGGTTAACCCCCCCCCAAAAAAACAACCAAAGTAGTGCCTATAATTTAAAAAGATGAATGCCCTCAGTGGCCACTGCAAGGTAACTGTAACAATACTGCCAGCCTTCAAGCCTTGGTTTCTGTCAGTAAAACACAGGGGGAGGAGGAAAAAGCTGAAGAGGACAAAGATAGATTCGCTGGTAGGTGAAAAGGAATGAAGCAGGAAAAGGGGAGCGGCTACAGGGCTTTCAAGGAAGGGAAAGAGGAAATAATGGAAGAGGGGAAATTAGATGCCTACTGCAAGTCCTTGTTGGTGCCCCCCCCCCGTTATATATAATAGTTAACTAGCTGGCCCTTGTGTGAATGACAAAAATAACAAACCAGACCACCCATAAACAAGATAGGAGTCTCCACCTATTTGGAAGACTACCCAGACGGACAGAAAAAGGTGACTTCATGAATTAATAAAAAGAGGTCTTATAAGAACTAAAGATGCCCTGTAATCAAGGAAAGTTGAGAGCCAAAGGGATCTATCAAGGATGGGCGAGTGGGCATCAACGTGACAAATGGGGTTCAATGTGGCCAAATGCAAAGTGATGCACATTGGGGCCAAAAATCCTAACTATAAATACATGTTGATGGGGTTCGAAATGGCAGAGACTGACTAAGAGAGAGATCTTAGAGTTTTAGTAGATGACTCACTGAAAATGTCGAGACAGTGTGCAACTGCAATAAAAAGGCCAACGCTATGCTCAGGATTCTTAGGAGGGGAACTGAAAGCAAATCAGCCAATATCATAATGCCCCTGTATAAATCAATGGTGCGGCCTCATTTGGAATACTGTGCACAGTTCTGGTCACCACACCCAAAAAGGATATTATAGCATTGGCAAAAGTGCAGAAAAGGGCAACTAGGATGATAAAAGGGTTGGAACACTTTCCCTATGAAGAAAGGTTAAAATGCTTGGGGCTCTTTAGCTTAGAGAAATGATGACTGAGGGGTGACATGATCAAGGTTTACAAGATTATGCACGGGACAGAGCAGGTCGAGAAAGAAGTACTTTTCTCCCTTTCTCACAATACAAGAACTCGTGGGCATGCCATGAAATTGCTGAGCAGTCGGGTTAGAACAGATAAAAGGAAGTACTTCTTCACCCAAAGAGTGATTAACACATGGAATTCACTGCCACAGGAGGTGGTGGCAGCCAGTTATGTGTAGTAGTTAAGTGCACGGACTCTAATCTGGGAGAACTGGGTTTGATTCCCCACTCCTCCACTTGCAGCTGCTGGATGACGCTGGGCAAGTCATAGTTCTGTCAGAGCTGTTCTCTCAAGGACAGTTCTGGAAAGAGTTCTCAGCCCCACCTACCTCACAGGGTGTGTGTTTCTTAAAGGCTGTGTTGTCTTGTTTGTGTTTTATTCTCCTGAAGCTCCATGCATGTAGATATCTCCTGTTCAGTGTTACTGCTACTACTCTACATGGGATTATTTGCTAGCTGCTGGTTTCTGTTCTCTCACTGAAAAGTGGAATATAAATATTTTTAACTAACTAAAATCACAGAAGCATTTGGAAAATTTCCAAGCTATTTAGATAAATAGCTACTACTAAAAGCAGTAAGTATATATCATTGAACCAGGGAGTACAGACTTTGAGAATGAGCCACATTGTCCCGAACAATTTAAAATAAACACATGCAGTGCAAGGTTTTTACTCTGAAAACAAAAGGATATAACACATAACATAATGAAAAGAAGACTCCTTGCTGAAACGAATCAGGAATAAGAAAAACATAAAATACTGTACCATGTTTATTTCTGATATTGTATCGATGCTTGCTATATCCATACTCATTCCCACTGAGACAGGGCCATCTGAAACAGATTTACAAACATACAACATTAATTCTTGGGCTACTGTAAATTGCTTCGTGTGCTTTTTCTTAGAATTCAGGACTCACTGAATGGCAGCAAATAATTGTAATCTGACTCTTATGTCATATAAAACTGGATTAATTGATATGCTGGGTTGTTACCACACTCAACTTGAAAGCCAGTTACAGAGTGCAAGCAAATTCTACCACTTAAATATAATCAGAGATCTCAGAAGCTAAGCAGGGTCAGCTCTGGTTAGTACTTGGATGGGAGACCACCAAGGAAGTCCAAGGTTTCCACGCAGAGGCAGGGCAATAGCAAACCATTTCTGAATGTCTCTTACCTTGAAAACCATACAGGGTTGTCATAATTAAGCTGTGACTTGAAGGCAAAACAAAACATTAACAACAACAACACACACACAAAAAACCCCAGGCTATAATCCATGCAATTTCCCCACAGGAACAAATGGTGTGTTCCTGGGGCCACTTTAGGATTGGAAAATGGCACTGGGGAGGGGGGCTGAAGTCCACTCTCCCCACATTCCTCAATCACAACTAGAACTGGGCCTGTGTGTATCTGGAAGGGACAAAACTCCCATCACACATATAACACACATGATATTGCATGAATTAGCCCACAGATGACTTCACAACTACTGGTTAAATGAAGTGGTTGGGGAGGTGTCCTCAACAATCATTTATGTAATGAAGACATTCTTTCTGTTTCTCCTCTTATTTTCCTCTCCTCTCCTCTCCTCCTTCCTGCCAGTCTCTTTCTCTTAATCTCTTTATTTACTCTCATTTCCCCTTCCCTCCTCCACATTATTCTTTTTTCAGTTAGACAAAATTTAGGAAGTGCTCACAGGACTGTGGATTTTGTGCTCGCACTGGCTTCTTGAGCAACAGGGAAAAACACTTAGAATAAAAAACCATGTTCAGTGGCAGAGAACATACTTTGCAGGGACAAAGTTTCAGAGTTCATCCTCACACCTCCAATTAAAGGCTCTCAAAGAGCCAGGCTGAGAATGACATCTGATTAGAGCACTGCTGCACAGTAAACAGTTCCGGACTAGATAGGGCAGTGCTGTAATCCTTATACTAATAGTGAAGTTGCCCCCGTGAGTGCGGATATCTAAATCCGAGCTCTGGGGGCAGCTGGGGGGCAGGGAGAGGTGTGTGCACACGTGGGGCAGTCCCCACGTGTGCACAAAAATGCTAAAAGTTGAAAAAAATTCGGGGGGATGTTTAAATCCCCCCGAAAGTGACAGAGCGTCCTCTGCGCATGCGCAGGGAACGCTCTGTAGCTGGCCTCGCTGCCGCCTCCTCGCCCCGCCTGGGAGCGGGGCGAGGGGGGGGAGGACCGGCCTCGCCGCCGCCGCCGCCTCTGGGAGATCGAGCGGGGGGGATGGAGGAGACGAAGCTCTTCTCCCCCCCGCGAGTATCGCGGGTCCCCCTCTTTTTCAGTATAATTATATGGAAAGCAAAGTCAATAATAATGCCAAACTCATATATATTATTGTAGAATCACAAACATAATAAGGAACAATTATCCAAAAATGGGTGGTAACAGACTCAAACCGACAATAAGTCACAGCATATCTCAAAAACAGCAGTCTTCCTTCATAAATGGAACAAGCTCACAGAGATTTTTTTTTTGTTTATATAAATATCACACGTCCTTGAACTAAAATCCAAACACCTATATACTGTGGTTTGTAGTAAATGAGCTCCATTCCAAATAGAAACAATACAGTTCTGGATAATATAATCAGCATTTCAGATCTATTCCTCTGTCAGGTAAATCAGGGAAGTCTTCATTAACATACAATGAATACACATGTATACGCGAGGTCCCGATCAAAATATTCCAATTAGAGACAGCTCCATATCTCTATATCTCTTGCAAGTCAGAATTACCTCTCCTGATTCAGTATAAAGCATCTTCAGTTTGGTGTAGTGGTTAAGTGCGTGGACTCTTATCTGGGAGAACCAGGTTTGATTCCCCACTCCTCCACTTGCACCTGGCTGGATGACCTTGGGCAAGCCCTAGTTCTGATAATGAGCTGTTCTTGAAAAAGAGCAGTTTCTGTCAAGAGCTCTTTCAGCCCCACCTACCTCACAGGGTGTCTGTTGTAGGGAGGGGAAGGGAAAGGAGTTTGTAAGCCGCTCTGAAACTCCCTTGGGTAGTGAAGGCCAGAGTATAAATCCAATCTCTTCTCTTCTTCTTCATATATTCATCAATCATTCTGTTACATATCTTACCGAGTTTAGTACAACCTTGCAGCCACAGTGTAAGATGGAGCTACAGTGTTTATTGATGGGGTGGGCAAAAGGGATGGCTGTGTATTTTTCAGCTGAAAAGTCTACAATGGCCACAATATCTTACACTCAATTTAATCCAAACAACAATTTGGGAGTCAATCGACCATAGCCAATAGCTGTGTGCTTAGCTACTTTCTCAGCCTTGCTCCAGGATTTCTCTAATCCGTTTTTAAACATCCGACCTCCTAATACTACAGCAGCAGGACTTTCAGTGTACTTCCTGGGATATGAAAGATAATTTTGAAGAGATTTCAGAGGCAAACAGAGATCAGTGACAGAAGTGCCAAAGCAAAAGGCACAACTGGGATGTTTCTTAAGCCATTTCATTGGTGGGGTTTCCTTGAGAGGAAACAATTAATAAATCCCAGGTTGCTTTTTGATGGAAGCAAAAGAAAAGAAAAAGATCATTAAGTAAGGCCAATTACTCAATGCCTTTTTTAAAGATGTGATTTTACCACGCATGTTTTAATTTTGTTAGCTGCCTGGGTGGGTCTTGTGAGGGCAGAAGGCGGGATATACATTTTGTAAATAAATAAAAATTTAAAAATACTTATATTAATTTACTGCTCACCCTCTACCTATATGTATGGACTACTATAATTTCCATTTTTTTTCCTGTCCCTGTCTTGGCTCTAATTGATCCTTCCTGGCAACTACCCCCCTTCCTATATGTAACAGTTGAGGAAATTCTTTTTCACTGTATCTGAAGAAGTGAGCTTGCCCACAAAAGCTTATACCTTGAATAAAACTTTGTTGATCCTCAGGGTGCCACTGGACTCAAACTTTGTTCTGCTGCTTCAGACCAACATGAGTACCCACCTGAATTTATGTTCATTTAGTCTAAGTAGTTTTAAATGTTGCATTTATTTAGACAAATTCTATCCCAGCTTTCTGCATAAATACACTCAAGGTAACATAAGACTTAAAAAATTAAAATACTAACTATCAATATATGAACAACAAAACCATAATATGAAGACAGCCAGTATAGCGCAGTGGTTAGAACACCAGATTAGCTTCTGGGAGAACTCGGTTCGATTCCCACCTCACTGCTATGAAAGCTGACTGGGTGTCTGTGGGTCAGCCACTTCCTCTCAGCATAACCTCCATCACAGGAAGCAGGGGAAGTGATGTAAGCCACTTTGGGTACTCACAGGGGACAAAAGTAGGATATAAATAAATAGAGTAAGCTAGGACCAACAACAACAAACAAAATTACATCATGTGGTTGAGCCCAAAAGCAGCAATCAGGGCTCTTTTTTGGAAAAAGAGGCGCTGGAACTCTCAAGAGAGAAATCAAGTTTTCAATATGTATACTGAAAACTCATGAACTTTTAAACATTTAAAAAAGAATTTTGTTGAAGAGGTTCCAGAACTACATTCTGGCATGTTCCCCCAGAAAAAAAGCCCTGCCAGCAATAAAGAGCAGCAGGGCAACCTGATTTGCTCCAAACCAGCAAGTCATCCTTATCTGGTCTTCCTTCAAGTTACATCCTTGTAAGCATCCTTATCTGGTCTTCATTCAGTTGAGTGGGTGTGGTTTTTACCTGGGAGATGGGATGGGATGGGATAGGACCCTCTAGGACTATCAGTTCTTATTTGTCACTAGTTATACATCACTTTTTTCTTAAGGCCCACATTTACAGCTGAACTTTCCCTTTCACATTTATGAAACCGTCATCAATTGCACTTTAGATTTAACTAATTCAGTGGAGTGAGACTTAGCTTTGTGTTCCTGTCCTTTTCAAGCTTCAAGTCTCCTGTTTTGAAAGTAAGAAGAATGCAGAAAGATGCAACCTTCAGCCTTCCCCAGATGCAACGCTGTGGAAAGAAAGCTTCCCTGCTGGAAGGAACACCTGGTTCCTCAGATGTCAGTCAACGGTGTAATGGCTTCGGGGTCTATCATGTGATCAGTCTGCAGATGGGCTTGATGAGCTACCCTAATTCACTGCGTCTGTAAGAACTTAAGGGCTTCTGAAAATTAATCACACTGATCAACCATAAATCAGGAAGAAGAGATGCTGTTCAAATCTTCCCGACTGTATTGTGATAGAACAAAAGTGGCACGGGTAGGGAATGACAAATCCTGTGCAAAACTTAGGGGCAGGAAGATTTATGGGAAAAAGCAATGCTCTATGAAGCAACCGGAGGCGATGCTAATGTAACCCTACTCAGGGTTAATGGGTTGAGAGCGGGCTTCAGGAACAGATCTAATCACGGTTCTGAAAGGTTGTTTAAAAGTGTTTCAGAGTTTATTTCAATAACAGTCAAACATACCAACAAGCCTGGCTAGAGGGTAGCAAGGGGCTATTTGTGTGCAAGAGGCCAAAGAAACTTATAAACAGCAGCAGACTGTTTAGTCCTAGGCCGGGTTTCACCTGTTCTCAGCTGAAGAGATGTTTCTGAGCTTTAAAAAAAAATTAAAATGTTTGCAAGCCATGTTTTTAAGGGGTATTATAGTAAAAACATTTCCCTTAAAACTACACAAATCTCACAACAACATGGAAATCCTAACAGTAATAAAACATGGACTCCAACAAGCTGTTGTGCTTCAGGACTGTTTTATTGAGAATAAAACTGAGAAAAACATGGACTCAAGAAAAAAAAACAATATGCTCATACAAAACAGAACACTGCTCAGTAAGGAGCTACTGTTCACTAAGAGTTCTCTCCTGCCTTCCTACCAGGAGTCTCTATAACTAGGTGAACACATCACGTTACACTCCTATGTTAAACAAGAAAGTAGCACGTGGGATCACAAGGTATTAACATGAAGGAGCTTCTGAAAAGGTGATGGCACTATATGGTAAAGATTACAAAATTAAACAGGTCTGGGGACATCCATCACTGATAGGGTTGCCAGGCCCCCGCCAGGGTAGTGGATCCCCCGCTCTGGGGCCCCACACCCATGGCACTGGTCAGCTAGCTGGCAGGGGACTTAATGGCAGCAAACAGAGGCCTAGGCCTGCATTGCCAGCAACACAGTGATGCCTCTGGAAGTGACATCATCCCTGTTCCGTCTGGCGCTAAGTCAAGAGTCAACAGCGCCTTCTGGATGTGATTCAACGCACGGTCAGAGTAAAGTAGAATTAAATCATTTTTATTAAGCTCCTCCACGTGCATTCAGAAGATTTCTTACAATCAAGACTGAATAACTGGTGAAGTTCACATCTTTGTAATCTACTTCAGGTCACTGGCTCATGGTGAAAAAGATTGCGTGCTCCCGCCTCCTTTGCCATTTAAAGAGTAGACAAAGAAACGGGAAGAAAGCTGTAAACTCAAATCCTCGCGCCTCTGGGGGCAGGAAATGACTGTTAATCAGCCAGTCACAGGGATGCTTTGGGATGCCTGACTAAAGACTTCAATTCCTTGGGGCAACTGCTCTTAAAGATATATGGCAGTTCTACTTAACTACAGTTAAATGCTGGCTGGGTGCTGCACAATCACGTTGCCAGCAACACAGGGACACTCTAGTATTTGGGTAAATACTCTATTGTAAAAAATGACTTCTACCATAGAGTTTCTGTCCAAATACCAGAGCGTCCCTGCCTCACCAGTGATGCAATGAGGACGTCACCACATCACCAGCAACACCAGCCTAGGCCTTTGCTCCTAGTAAGTCTCCCCTCCACTCCCCACCGGTTGCCAGGAGGTACCCTGGCAACCCTAATCAATGATCAAAGTAAATATTTATTCCACTTGCTACTACCATCTGTTTCTCCCTGTTGACTTTATTCTTAATCCCATAGACATGACTGCTCCCCACCAGTGTCTCCTCTCATCCTCCATTTTCTTAGTCTGCAGTTTTATAGTTATGCGACTGCCTCCCTGCTTTCTTGCATAAAGCAATGTTAACTGCAATACTAAATGGACTTTTAGAGTATGTCCCTTGACAGCTGTTAAACACAATAACTAAATGGAACCACTATGTTCCAGGCAGTGTACCTCTGGATGCCAGTTGTTGTGGGGAGGGCAACAACAGATGAAAACTTTGGTCTTTGTGCCCTGCTTGAAGGCTTTTCAGAGCCATCTAGTTGACTGAGAGAAAGAGGATGCTGGACAAGATATACCTTTGCTCTAACATCATATGAGTCTTCTTGCACATTATCAAATCAAACAAACAGGTACCCCTTCCATAATTCATCCATCTTGCAATAAAGCTGGTTACAATTTAGAGAAATTTGATCGTAAGAGCCTTTCAATGGCATTCAAGAATTTATTTAATGTAGTTCCTCCTTCTCTCCAATAGATGGCAATACAGAATTATTGCCCTTTTCTGCTTTGGAAGTCCATACAGCAGAGTCTACCATCATTAAAAAGATCTGAATGCTTTGCAACAAACACTGGATTGATACATATAAACAGAATTATTACTTTTATTCTGTCTAACTTCAAGCCCAGCAACATAAAACAACTTTTGACAGAAAAAACACACACAAAAAAACCCCAAGGCTTATAATCTGCAGCAGCATGCCTACAACATTGACATATTTTACTAGTCAAAGGCTGGAAATAACCACCTTAAGATAATTCAGTAAGTGGTGCACTCAAATAAAAGAAGAAAATGGATGAACAGCAGAAACAACAATTGTGCTCAAATGCCTATAATGCTGTTTAACACAATTACAGATTACTGATCTGCAAACAGGAATAAAGAAATAATGGTGATAATACAACAGTAAAAGTGTCCATAACTGGAAAATTATAATCTTGTTATCTGCTTCTGCAGTACATGGTGTGGTCGCTCACACACATCTTATCATCTGATAGCTACAACTTCTCTGAATGAGCCATGAGAAGAACTAATGCCAGAGATCAACATTAAACTCAGAACTTTCATATATTCTTTTCCACAGAGTTCACATATTCAACTGTGAGTCATCAAGTCATCTGTGTACATTGGGGTTGCCAACTTCCAGGTGGGGGCCTGGAGATCTCCTGGAATAAAACTGTTTCCCAGACGACAGAGATCAGTGCCCTTGGAAAAAATGGCTGCTTTTGAAGGTGGAATCCATTATACCCCACTGAGATCACTCTCCAGCTTCCACCCCCAAAATCTCCAGGAATTTTCCAATTCAGAGTTGGAAACCTTAGAATACATCACTGGCTGAAACCAATTACTTCATGGTCTGTTTACCTGATCCAGAGATACCAGCAAAAGATCCAAGACATACTGGATCAGCACTAGGGTTGCCAGCCCCCAGGTCCAGGTGGGGGTTCCCCCGCTTCTGGGGGCTTCAATCTGCCCCCGGCCAGTTGGCTGACCAGGGAAGCTCTGCCCCCAAGAGTGACCACCCACCCAGCCATCCCTCTCCCTCCCCTCCTGCCCGATTTAAAGGGTTTCAGCTGATCAACGGGGACCATGTGGAGGGCCCTTTAAATCTAGCAGGAAGGAGAGGAGTGGTCACAGGCCACAAAAGACCCTTTAAAGGGCTGGCTTCACCCAGCCCCGCGTGCCGTGGTCCCAACCCTGCCCACAAAACCTGGCAATCCTAATCAGTACAATCCTTGCAAGCACAAACATTTCAGTTGTCTGCATAGAGCTCTTGACTTGCAAGAACCTATTGATAGTGAGGAGAAGATTGGATTTATACCCCACCCTTCAATTGGAGTCTCAGAGCGGCTTACAAACTCCTTTCCCTTCCCCACTCCACAACAGACACCCTGTGAGGTAGGTGGGGCTGAGAGAGCTCTTTCAAGAACTGCCCTTTCAAGGACAGCTCTTGTCAGAACTATAGCTTGCCCAAGGTCATCCAGCAGCTGCAAGTGGAGGAGTGGGGAATCAAACCCGTTCTCTCAGATTAGAGTCTGCACACTTAACCATTACACCAAACTGGCAGAACCTTCTTAAAATTCAGCATGCCCTTACAAAGACCTTTTGAGACGAAAGTTAGCTATGCTGTCCAACCTGGGGTAAAGCTTTGATGATTGGTATTTCTTCCTTCATTTTTAAAGTATCTGTCTACCAGGACAATAGGAAATCAACATCAGTCTGCTCATCTCTCTTATAAGTAGTTTTGGAATAATTAAATCAAAATGTTTAAAGTGAGATTAAAGTGAGATCCCATTAATTTGTAGCAGCTACAAATGATGTTATATCATGTACTTCAATATGAACATGTCACTCTAATTTATTCAGTCAGGAGAGGATAACAGAAATGTGTGATTCCAAATATCTAAATGTGACAATTTCTCACATACCCATGGGGAAAATGCGTCCACAGCAAGAGTTTCTTTTACATTTCTATTGCAGCTGCTAGCACAGCTGAAGAAGCAAGCCTTTTTCTCCCAGTCTAAAGTGCAAACGTCAAACTGAAAAATGGATTGTTTCAGCAGGTGGTGGGAAAGCCAAGAAGCCTCTGGTATTGCAGCAATTTCCTGTGTTACTTTACCAGGGTCTCAAGAAATACCTAAAAGCACATCATGAACAATCTTCCGCCCTCAGTTACAAAACATGATTTCACTATATTCCATACTACAGACATCACATGGCACACGCCTAAGTTGCTTAAGACATTGGGGCTGCTCTAGTGAATATATTATTTTTACAGCAGGTACTATGCTTGTTTTTGTACTTTGTCCGTGGACCACTATAACAAAGAATCTAGATTATACGAGCCTGTCTGTTGGAGAGCAAGGACCATGCCTCTGTACTGTAGAAGCAGAATTAAAGCCTGGCAGTTCCATAATAAAGAACATCATATCCTTTCAACATCGTACAACCGAGTCAAAGATAAAAGACCAGTATGGTTCCTATTATCAGTTCATTTCTGATTCCTCAGATGCCATGTGGTATCAAAACAGATTATTCCAGCTATATCACATTTTCTACTTACTGTCAAAAAATGGGCGCAGATACTTGTTATATCCTTTCATTATTTTCTGTATGGTAGGCGGAAGAATTTCACCTTTTCCTTCAGCTGGGGGAACTTTTATTAATCTGACAGGGAAGAAGAACAGGGAGGTTGCTCCTTAGCTGTAAAAATGTGTTTAGTGGCAAACTGATAACATAGTACTATTGCTGTACCTGGAAACTGCTGCTTTCCTCATACCAACTGCCTGCAGCTGAGGCAATGGCAACATCTCCTCAAAAGCCGAACATGTCAGTCTTTCCCCAGGAGAATTTATCAGTCTTATGTCCTACCCAAATTTGCTACAATGGCCCCAGTAACTGGACAAAATTCACACTGAGTTCAGTTTCTTCTCTCACTGCTTTTGTGAGATGTGTCACAGTAGACCTTCCTTGTCCATTATAATGAAACTTTTTCTTATACACCATGAAATCTGCTTATCAAAGTCCCCAAAGGGAGAAAATGCAGCGGCGTTGTTTCTTTGTTGAAGGATAATATATTTTTCTATTAATCTCCCCAAATCCGTTTTTCCCCCCAGCACCAAGTTTAACATAGATAAATGCAGAAACAGCAAGGCAAAGGAGAATCCGTGAAGTGTAATTACAGAAGCATCATCCTTTGTATACAAACTGTTGCTAAAACAACATGAAAAATAACAATGTATAACTCTGCCTAGGGTTGCACTACCGGTCTCTAAGGTGCCATAGGACTCTCTGTTGTTTGGACCACATACAAAGTAATACTTCAAGATAATTGTTAGCGGCCTTGCTTTGTAATGCATTTCGAAATATACAGCAGTGTTCATTGCCTACTGCACCATATCGTCGTGTATTTTAAGCATGCTGTCAAGACGAGAGCACCTTTTCAGTCCTAAGATCCACATTAAACCCCCATTCTAGAATACAGGACTTCATTTTTATGCCTGCACATTTCTTTCCCTTTCCGTTGCACTCATATGATTATGGTTACCTGTCGAACTCCTTGGTCCTGACCTGGATAGCCCAGGCTAGCCTCATCTTGTCAGATCTCAGAAGCTAAGCCAGGTCAGCCCTGGTTAGTATTTGGATGGGAGACCTCTAAGGAAGTCCAGGGTCACTACACAGAGGCGAGCAATGGCAAACCACCTCTGAACGTCTCTTACCTTGAAAACCCTACAGGGTCACCATAAGTCAGCTGCAACTTGATGACACTTTCCAATACCACACTGAACTCCTTGGTTCCAAGTAAGACAACACTGGTCCATCTGCTTCAGTATTGTCTGATCTGACTGATAGAGCTCTCCAGGGCCTCAACTTCTTCAGTACTTTAACTGGAGATCCCAGGGACTGAACTGGAACCCTCTAGATGCACAGCATATGCTCTACCACTGAAGCACAGCCCTTCTTTCTTATTTTCATTCTCTCTCTTTTTATGATGCTCTATCCTGTCTCTCCTGTTTTAAGGAGAAAACCAGGGTGGGAAATTATAGACCAAGTACACCCCACTACCTGAAGAGGAACAGTTCAGTGGGGTAGTTTCCAGTATCTCACCTGAACAGAGATTGTTCTTTGAGGTTTGTGGCAAGAAAAATCCCACTTTTCTCCATATCCACCTGTCCCCCTGGTGGGGAAGGATTGGCCATTTAACTTAAATTAATTTAGATTAGAGAACCAGTTTGGTGTAGTGGTTAAGAGCAGCGGACTCTAATCTGGAGAACTGGTTGATTCCCCACTCCTCCACATGCAGCCAGCTGGGTGGTGTTGGGTCAGTCATAGTTCTCTCAGAGCAGTTCTCTCAGAGCTCTCTCAGCCCTACCTACCTCTCAGGGTGTTTACTGTGGGGAAAGGAAGGGAAGGAGATTGTGGAAGGAGACTCCAAGAGTATAAATAATCCTCCTCCTCGGATGCAAAAGGAACCATTTTCAGGTGCAAAAGGTACCATTGCATTAGAACGCAGGGACACAGAGAGAACAGAAAGTCTCAAATACTGGCTCAGGGAGCAGGAGCAGACTGGGAAGCGAAGATGGCCCAGGAACAAGCCCAACTGAGCAGTCCCTGTGGTGCTGCTACAAACTAGCACTCCAGGGGTGGCGGGGGCAGTTCCTCCTCCTCCTTTTTCCCCCAGAGGGCCACTGCCCTAGAGGGCTGCTGGTGGCCAAGCTCTAGCAACACTGCCATAGTGTCAGGGATTACCACTTGGCTCAGACCCTTCATGATAAATCGGTGTCAGCTCACCAATTCTCCTCCTGCATGATGCCATTTTGTGGGATGAGGCAAAGGCTAAGCCATTTTCCATTGTCCGTGTCACTGCGTTCAGTGGCCCCTGGAGTGCTGGTTTGTAGCACCGCAGGGACTGCTCAGCTGGGCTTGTTCCTGGGCCATCTTCACTTCCCAGTCTGCCCCTGCTCCCTGAGTCAGAATCTGTGACTTTCTGTTCTCTCTGTTTCCCTGCACTCTAACGCAATGGTGCCTCTTGCGCCCAAAAAAGAAATAAGGGGCAAGTAGCATTTCGGCAGGAAAGAGTATAGACTCTACAATGTCACAAAGCCTTTAATAGTCTGGCAGTCTATAACAAGGTGTGCCCATGTTATTTGCTGTCACAGAGACCAAAGTTTGATTCCCAATATTAAAATCTACACAAGCCATCAAAACCAGAGGTTTCTCCAGACACCATCTTCTCCCTTATTGCTTGGAGGGGTCCAGTGTATTTTATGCTGACTATGAATACCCAAATGAATCTTTGCAAAACTAAACTATTCAATAGTCTCCACTCTACCAGCTAGAAATGGGGAGGTGCTGCTCACATATCTGTTAAAAGGAGCAAGACCAACGCTGTCAGTCTCACAAGCATCCACTGGTACCAGCAAAACACATTTAAATTTAAAATGGTTCTTTTGTTCAATCTGGTCTGTAATGAGGATGTAAAGCCAATGTCGCCCAGAATGCTCCTGCATGTTGCAAGTACATATTTTCCACTTTCTCTTCCTTATTAGGAACCATTAAATGTTTCCAGAAACAAGACAAGAGGCTCAAAGGCAATTTGAGTCTTGCATATGAAAATGTGCAGACTGTCAGATACCATCCACCACCCTTGGCAACATAAGGCACCATATGTGCACACAAATGGACACAAACTTTCTGTGCATCATTCAGTGACAAAAATGCCCCATCACAAGCAAGCAAGGGACTTCACATGCAAACACCCATGCCCCTAAAAACAAGAGATACCACAACACAGAAATAATACTGAGAAAGGTCTTTTAAAACATTTTTTTTGTTCTAATTTCTGCTTAAGGTGATAGCCATATGAGCAGTACTAGATAGATGGAGATAGAGACACCACAACAGGTGTGGGGAATGACTGGATTCACAGCAAATAAGCTAAGGGTACACATTATGACCGATTTCCCACATGTGCTGCTCTACGCTCGCTCTTCCCTTCTGCCCTGATGGTACGTGTCAATTTCACACAAGCTGCTGCGTGGCCGCATTTTGCCCTGCAGCTTCGCCTGATTTTCCCCGCATGTACTCAATCCTCAAAAAACAGGATTCAGTAGACGCGGGGAAAATCAGGCGAAGTTGCAGGGCAAAATGCGGCCACGCAGCAGCTTGTGTGAAATTGACACGTACCATCGGGGCAAAAGGGAAGAGCGAGCGTGGAGCAGCGCTTGTGGGAAATCAGTCTATGTTTTGCAGCTGCAAGGCTGCAAGAAACAACTGCAAATGGGCAAAGCTTGCATGCATGCACACATGCACACATAGGGAAAGGTCACGGCACTGACTCAGGCAAAGTACTGTAAAGCACTCAGAATTGGCTTCACTATTTCTGTTGTCTGGAAAGTACTCTTTCATCAAACCCAAAAACATTCTGCATGCCTGGATAACTGTAAGAACAAAGTAGTAAAATACCAGCTCTTACCTGCATGATATCATTACAAAGAGAGCTTTGAAACCCCAGCTCAAGGTGCACATTGCTGAAGGTTGGCTCCAAAAATCCTATTATTTCCTAAAAGTGAATGAAGAAAAGCCTTACTTATATACCACCAAGAAAAATACTGGTTACATGAATATAGTTTCATAAGCATTATGTGAAAACAGCAAATAGCAATACTGCTTATTCCAAAGCACTTTACTTTAATCTAATTTTGCAACTTTGTGTTTTAATCTCATGTAGTTTTTTGAAAGGGACTCCCTTTGACTTAAATGAAGCCTTAAAGTAAATGTGCCAAGGATAGAGCCTTATGCTTGCTTTGTAGTCACCATAGCAGCTGGAACACACAAGCCAAGATTCGTGGTGTAATGATTCCTAGATGGGAGATCCAGGTTCAGATAATAAAAGCTTGCTGGGTGATCTTAAACCAGTCACGCAGTCTCTGTTTAACCTACCTCATAGGACTGTTGTGTGTATAGAGTGGAGAAGAAATGTTGTGAACCACTTTGGGTCCCCATTTGGAAGAAAAGTGGGATATAAATGAAGTCAAATCAATAAAATCAATAGAGATCTCCCTAGTCCTGGACAATGGCACAAGGATAAACCTAACCCCCTCTACCCCAGTAGCATAATTCTGTTCTCAGTCAGATCTTTCCCAAGAAAAAGATTTATGGATATCTGATCACAGATCTCTATTACCCTGTCCACCTAAGCCTTATTTCTATGATATTCTTTTTGAGATGAGGTGGCTTGGGCTTTATACAATTCGAAATTCAGCTGCATGAAATATTTCTGTAAATGCATGATAAAGTTTTCGTGCTGCCTATTTGATCTTCAGTTCCTTATCTAACAACTCCAATATGGAATTTTTCCCATTTGTTCTACGCTGAGTTGACCTATTCATTGAGCTATCCTCCACAACTCCATGATCTTTCTTCTAAAAGTTCAGACCCCATTCAGCATCTATGTGAAGTGAGGAATTTTTTGATCCATTGTGCATTTCTTTATGGTCACCTGTATAGAATCTCATTTGCCATTTTGTTTCAGCCCAGCTGGAGAAATGAACTTTGGAATTCTTGATAACCTATTTGGATTTTCACCATCTGAATAATGTATTGTCATCTTATGAACATGACTGTCACTGCTCATTCTTGACCCCAGATAATTTATGAAACTACTACAGGTTCTTGGATAACTCCACGTCTTACTCCCCTCTGCTCAGATTCCTCTTCTGCAAGCACTCAACAATCCATTAGAAGAGCCTCCCCTCATTCCATGGCTGCTTAAATTTACTTACCTTTTTGTGCACTTTGGCAAAGCTTTTAAAAAGTCCATGTACATGTCTACAAGATCCTCACTATCTACATCTGAGTTTTTATTTATTTATCCTGCTTTTCTCTCCAATGAGAACCCAAAGGAGCTTGCATCAGTTTCTTTTCCTTCATTTTATCCTGGCAACAACCTTGCAAAGTACGTTAGAGTGAGAGAAGGTAACTGGCACAAGAACATCCAGTGAGTTTCCATGGCAGAGTAAGAATCTGAACCTGGGATTTGAACCTGGGTCTCCCAGATCCTAGTCTGGCACTCTAACCACTACACCACACTGCCTCTCTAGCTGATGAAGAATTTTACAAGGCTGGAAAAGTGGGACTGTCATTTTGCAGAAGACATGCTCACTATTCCTCTGAAAGCATCTTTTTCCATTAGCTTAATGATTCTAGATACTTCCATTTGAAACGTGTGAGGAATAAACAAAAGCCCAATCCCTGAAAAAAAATCATTGTTTTACTTACTTCCAAGAAGCACCAAGTACAGATCTGTTAAAAACGTTAATATGCCCTTCCACAAACAAGCATGCACACGGGGGGGGGGGGGGGGGCATGCGATGGCTGAGCACATTCTCTTCATGTAGGCAGTCCCAGATTTAATCCTGGCATCTCCAGTTGAAGGGTCTTGAGTAGCAGGTGTTGGAAAAGACCCTTCTCTACCTGAGGCCCTGAAGAGCCACTGCTGGTCATAGTAGACAGCTCTGTGCTAAATGAACCAATGATCTGACTCCAGTAAAAGGAAATTTCACATGTCTAATTCAATTACTCTTAACTTGGTTTCAGAGGGTAGGTTGGTCTGCAGTAGAAAAGCTAGAAATCGAATCCAGGAGCAACTTAGAGACCACCAACATTTTCAGGGTATGAGCTTTTAGAGTCAAAGCTCCCTTCGTTCAGATACCTGATGATACCTGCCGAAGGGAGCTTTGACTGCCAAAAGCTCATGCACTGAAAACCTTGTAGGTCTCTAAGGCACTTCTGGACTTGAATCTAGCTGTCCAGCTTGGATATCTCAATGGTTCCCTTTCTTCTGTTAGGACGGTGTCTATTACAAGCTAGAAAGAAAATTAAAGGAGAGGAAAAGCTTTTAAAGAATTAAGCTGCTTTGGTATGAATGGAAGGCTCTGTCAATGGGGTGAGCAATATTGTGATGGGAGAGGGAACAGAAACGTAGCAGGCTGCAGTGCTGCAGGAGCTCCTGGTACAGCTGCCAGGTTCACTTTTTGAATAGCGCTAATTGATGAGAGCGGGCCAGAAGTCCTGTCTGCTCTCTCTTATAAGCGGTAGCTTTAATGCTTTCATTTGGCTGACAACTTAGCTGCTGGCATGCCAGCCAGCCAGTTTCTAATTTCGAGCAGCATTTCCCTACTTAACGTACAGCAGCTCAGGCGGACAGCTGAGGAATACATGAACAAGCTCTGATTAGACTGGGACCCAAAACAATGTCCGTTCCAGGTAGCAGTTTCTGTGTTGTTTCAGGAGAGCAACAGTGCGACCCCATGCAAAGTTAGTCCATTGATTCCACTCAGCTTTAGCTTACTTTGGCCCCGGTCACACGGAAGGTTTTGGCCCAGGAGAGGGACGGATCGGCCACACCTGAATGGACAAGCTCCTTCCACCGGAACACCTGAAGCTGCCTGACACAGACCATTGGTTTATTAAGGTCAGTATTGTTTCCTCTGATTGGCACATGCTCTCTGGGATCACAGGGACACCTGAAACTGCCTTATACTGAATCAGACCTTTGGTCTATCAAGGTTAGTATTGTCTATGCAGACTGGCAGTGGCTCTCCAAAGACTCAGGGAGAGGTCTTTCACATTACCTCCTACCTGATCTTTTAAAACTGGAGATGCTGAGGACTGAACCTGGGACCTTCTGCATGCCAAACAGATACTCTACCACTGAGTCACAGCTTCTCCATATGAACCTGCCTGGGATTTGTGATCTGCTGCCCTGCTCTGTGTGGCTACCTTATCTGAAGTAAAGTTGGTGAGCACTTGAAACAAGACCTTCTCAGCTCTTGCTCCCAACTTAGGTAACATACCAACTAAGGTTCCTTGGACACCATGCTGCTGGGAGTTCCAGAAAAATAAGATGACTTTTCTATTCTGAAAGGCCTTTGACACAATGCTGAGTCTCTGACAATGTTTTTAATTGCTGCTGTTTCAGCATGATTCCATGGCTGGTGTTGCATGATGTCCATTTTATTATATGAACTGACTGATTTATATAGGGTTTGCAGGGGTCGTTTCGTAGAAAAAGAGCTAGGGGAACTCATTAGCATAACTCATTAGCATATGCCACACCCCCTGACATCACCGGAAGTGCCACACACCCCGTCCCCAATGGTCCCAGCCGCTGGCCTTGCAGCTCCACTGCCGAGCCCCATGGGGCCTGGCGGTGGACCTGCAAGGCCGGCGGGAGTGCAAGGAAGCCCTGAGAAGGCCCTCCCTGGCCCCAGGCAGGCAGGGGTGGGGAGAGGCAGGGAGGAAGCAACTTACCCTCCCTCTTCTGCCTCCTCCTGGCTGAATGAGGGCCGGAAGCAGGGGGCGGGGCTTCATCATGTGCCCCGCCCCCCGTACCTCACCCGGAGGAACTGCGATCCCCCCCGAAATGACCTCTGAGGGTTTGTTCCTTTTGATCTGATTTTAGTATCACTAACAGTCTACCTTATGTTGTCATTTTTCACTGTTCTATATATAGATGTTTTATCTGGATTTACTTCTATGGCTGTGTCCTTGTATACTTAGATGTCAGAACGGTGAAATGGAAACTATCTAAGGAAATAAGTATAACCCTAAGAAGACAGAGCTAAAGGTAGTGGGCATATAGTGTGTTCATTCACTGGATGAATTATCAACAAAACTTTGCCTACTTTGAAGTGAGTTTGTAGTGCGGCTATAGATACAAACTAAAAATAAAGTCTTAGATAAGAACAGAAACACACATTTAAAATGTGGACATCATGTTTTTCACATTTTAAAACGAAGAAAAAGCACAGTTGTAACCCATGATTTTATTCAATGTATTTGTAATAGTGTCTCTCTACTTGTAAGCTTGGAGCTGCAGTGGCTCAAGTGGTTAAGACGCTGAACTGCAGGCTGTGGAAGGTCAGTAGTTCAGCAGTTCGAGACCCGGGTGCCGCATGATGGAGTGAGCTCCCATCTCTAGTTCCAGCTCCTGCCAACCTAGCAGTTCAAAAGCAAGAAATTGCAAGTAGATAAATAGGGACCACTTCGGTGGGAAGGTAACAGCGTTCCGTGCACCTTGGCGTTTAGTCATGCCGGCCACATGACCAAGGAAACGTCTTCGGACAGCGCTGGCTCTTCGGCTTTGAAACGGAGATGAGCACCGCAACCCTAGAGTCGGATTCGACTGGCTTTCGAGCAAGGGAACCTTTACCTTTACCTTTACCTCTCTACTTGTACGTTTTTATAATGACTTTGATTTACTGATATATGCCAATAAAGGCTGACTTGACTTGCCAAACACACATTTTTAAACACAGCTTCCTTCACCTTGTTGAGTTGACCAGCTTGAGGTCACACTGGATTAAAAATTTATGCTAAACTTAGACAATTTATTCAGTTGGCAAGTACAGGAGTTTGGCTTTTACATCTGAAAAGCAATTCAAGAAGGGGTTTTGTGGCACTGACTAACAAATTTACTGAAGCCTAAGTTTTCTGTGGGTGAGGGATGCCAGCTCTGAGTTGGG